TATATATATATATATATATATATATATATATATATATATATATATGTATATGTATATATATATTAATGTATATATTAATTGAGATATATTGCAACTATATACGCGTTTCAGTATTCGCGTAAAGTAAGTACGTTCGGTTTTTTTTAACAAAGAGACGTATTAAATATATTCGAACAATTCCAATAGAATAGAAGATTGATTAATGGATTAAGGAGAGAAGATATGTTCGAGTGCCGTTTGTCGAATATCTGTGTTTTTGCACTGAATATCTGTGAAATTTACACAATTTGTGAAAATGTACAAAATTTCTCTCTGCTTCGAATTGAAGTTAGAGTTCAATTTTCCTTAAGCTAGCGCTATTTCGGCGTGATCGATTATAACGACTTTAAATTGGCTATAAATCGGCTCTCTATATTTGCGAGAGAATTACGGAACACTTCAACTCTCCGCGCTACTTATTCACCTATGTGTTTTTCGCGCCATGAATAGATCGTCGAAAACGAATTTTAGTAATAGTCGTCCATTCTTCGTCGTGTCATTTGTGGTTGCCCGAAGCTGCTAGCACCCACTTGAACTTGCGCTTGCAGGTGAGATGGTAATTCGTTCCATACGGATTGTGGCACAGTTTCTGAAAATTGCATAGAAATCAGGAAACTTCTTTTGCCTACTTGATAATAAGGTAAAAATACCAATGACACTAAATGCAGAATATTCTTTTATATTTGTTTTGGCCTTTAAATATTTAAACTTTCAACATAAAAAATATATATAAAATATTTCATATTAAAAGTTTAAATATTTAAAGGCCACACAGAATAATAAGAATGGTCATGTACGTATCTTGGAACTTTTATCTTAATTTGTATTATATTTCTGATAATAATGAAAAGAAAGAGAAGCAATTTTTTGCTTCTCGAATTTTTTGTTCACGATTTCTTCATTCTTATTAGCAGATGAATTGAACATTTTCAAATCGCTAAAGCGTTTTACAAAAGGCGTAATGGAGTTACGTTTGACTTGCCTGTGCACTTGTACAATAAGTCGGACCAGGTAATCATTTCCTGCGAGAAGCAATAGACACCCAGTCGACCGCCTGCATAGGTTGAATCGTAAATGTTTCCGGAGTCAGTTATTAGGCGCGTGCCCTCGTGTAGCCAGAATCTGATCAGACCGATTTGCGGTCTGTAAAGCAGATGCCACCTGTACGAAGTCCTCTGTTGCCAGCCGTACTTGCTCGGGTCCCTCCATAAAATCTTCACCTGATTAGGCGTATCTTCGTTATGCCACAGACTGTTTCTGAGCACCTCGCCCGGACCGGTCTCGGAATTGACGAGTCTCAACGTGATTCCGGCATCGGCCACCGCGCGGAATGGTGTACCCAACCAGTAGACCTGATTCTCCCTCTTCCAGGCGACGATGTAAAATCTGCGATTGTCTTGATAGGAGAATACGAATCCCACGTAATCGTCGTCGGTGTCGTCGTCGATGTAAAAGGTGCCCTCGTAATCGACGCCGCTGAGTATGTCCGGCCCTTAATAGTTAATAAGAGTTCAAGATATGTTTCTCTCACACGCTTACATCATGAGCTTACCTATAGCGATTCCAGGGTCGCTGTTGATGAGCTGTTGAATCTCCGCACCGTGATGATTGATTCTCCATACAGGATCTTCCTGGGAGGTACCGATCGGATCGAGAGCGATTGTTGTGTATTTTCGAAAATCCGTTGACCATATCAGACTATTGTTGGGACAGTTGTCGTAAATATTGATAACCGTGTCGTTGTCATTGTCGTTCCAACACGCGTCGCCGATACCGTCGTCTACGCGTATAAAATGCGGAATATAAACATTACAAATATACAAATCGTGACACATCAGTGACACCGTCCTCGTCAGTGACACATTTATCCTTTTCTGTTCAGGATTGGATTCCCCACACCGTTCTTTTTGAAAAAAATGTTAAAGTCCATAGCACAAATAACGTGTAATAAAATTTTACTCAGGAGGTTTTGGATCATTACTATTATTATCCGCTTAATATGTCACGTTATATAAAAATAAAAAAAGAGGAAAAGAATGAACTTACGATTGATGTCACGCTGATCCGGATTGTATACATAAGGACAGTTATCGATTCCATTCGGTACGCCGTCGTTGTCGATATCGTCGTCGCACTCGTCGCCAACACCATCGTGGTCGCCGTCGTTTTGTCCGGGGTTCGGCACACTGGGACAATTGTCCAGGTTGTCTTGTACGCCGTCCTTATCCCTGTCCATGTCGTTGTCGCAAACATCCCCGACGCCGTCACCGTCCTGATCCGCTTGATTGGAATTCGGTGCGTGTCGGCAATTGTCACAGGCGTCGCCGATACCGTCGCCGTCAGTATCAAATTGATCCGCGTTCCTCATCTTTGGGCAGTTGTCCTGATGATTCGGGATACCTAAATGATATTTTTCAATCACTAGAGTGCGACACGTCAACCTAGACAGATGTCTACTTTTCACCAATAATCGTTCTCTGATCAGCAATTGTTACTTGATAATTGCGATTAAGTTAATCAGCCGTATAAATTGCCGTATAATCAATCAATCTCTCCTTCTTTTCTTTTTAATATTAATATTTGACGTCGTGATAACTACGGTCATCATCCATGTCGTCGTCGCAGTCATCGCCTGTGCCGTCGCCATCGATATCCCACTGCTTCGGATTATTGACCAGCGGGCAATTGTCGCAAATGTCACCGGTCTTGTCGCCATCGGTGTCCCGTTGGTCCGGATTATAAACGAACGGACAATTGTCGATCGTATCTAGCACGCTGTCGTTGTCGGAATCTTGGTCGCAGGCGTCGCCTATGCCGTCCTCGTCAGTATCCTCTTGCCCGCTGTTAGGCGTCGTCGGACAGTTGTCGGACCGACAGCGAGGATCGTGACAACTGAGGCTCCTGTCGGGAATACCATCCAGGTCGGTATCGGGACCACAAGTCTGACCGTTTCCGGCCCAACCGACGTGACACTGCGAAGAATAGAATCTATATAAGTGGATAAAAGTAGATTAGATGGCTGAAAGCAAGTTCTCGTTTTGGTAGCATTTGTCGTGATACATGTCCACCTGTATAATAAGTTACAAACAATTTTTATTAGCAAACTCATCACAGTAATGACTCTCAATTTTGGCGCGTGTTTTAAGGGAAACACGCTTGAAAATGTTTTTGTACGCAGAATATAAGGTTATTCACACAAAAACAAACTTTATATTTCATAAATAAAATTTCAAATATTTTTTCTCAGTATGATACTTACTTTACAAGTATACTCATGAGTGAACGCTTGAACGCAATCGGAATTGACGTCGCAGCCTGTCGTTGAACCTGGGCAGACGTTGCCTCTAGAATGACACCCTATTGTTTGATTGCCGATGTAGCCGCTTCTGCATGGTCCGCATCTGTAGGATCCCTTCGACAATCAAGAGTAATATTTAAAGCTCGTACATCTGGATATAGCTCGGACGTGTTGAAACTTTTTCGCGAATTTCTCACCTCAGTATTGATACACTCTGAGTAAGGATCGCATCCGCCGTTGTTGGTTTCGCACTCGTTTATGTCGCGGCAGATCTGTTTTTGCTTTCGGGCCATTTCGATGCCGATACCTTCCACAAATGGTCCGACGTAACCCCTCGGACACTGGTCGCATCTATACCCAGGGTGGAGATTGATGCAACGCACTCCAGGGTAGCACGGGTGAGACAGTTCGCATTCGTTCACGTCGAGGCAGGTCGTGCCGTTGCCTACGTATCCTCTTGGGCAAGGACCACACCTGTGTCATATTTATAATTAACAAAACAAGATTTTGTGTGCTACACGGAAAAAAATATTTTGTTGAATTAACCAAATACCTGGTCAAATATGAACGATCCAGAAATTCCGATTGAAGTAACTCGAATTCTGTTTGAGTTAACAAGATTTTTGGTAAACTAACCAAACATGTGTGGTTATTTAACCAGATAACTCAACCAAATCTTTTTTTTCTGTGTAGGATTGTAAAGCGAATTTCTGCTTTAAGATAAGGATGTTTTTAATTGAGACAGACTTTCTCTCAATTGCAATTAAACGTAGAAAGCCCGAAAATAACTCACTAATGTTTACATACCTGTAATACGGTGGATGCTCAGTGGGGTAGCACTGAACTTCCGGATGACAGGGTTGAGAATGACAGCCGTTTCTGCGTCTCTCGCACTTCTCGCCATTGCCCGTGTATCCGCTCGGGCATCCGCCGCATCTGGAAACAAAGTTTGCACGCGATGTAAATTTCGGCGATCTCGGCGGTTTTCGTTGATTTCGTAAAAGCATGACTCCACCTGTAACCGTTGGTGACTTCGTAACACTGCACCCCGGGGTAGCACGGTCGGTCGATGCAGGTGATAACGTGGATCTTGCTGCAGACCCGTCCGTTTCCGGTGAAACCAGGAGGACAGGGGCCGCATTGGGGTCCTCTGGACGTTTCGCGACAATCGGCGCCGGGGAAGCACGGGGAGTTGTGGTCGCACGTGGACGTTGGCCGTGTCGGCGGTGGCACTACGGAATTACCGGGATCACGGCTCGTGACGAGTGAATTGCCTGAATGTTTTCGGGGCTTTTTCGGTCTCTGGTACGTGTCATCCACGTGCATCGTCGAGCGGCCCGTCGTACATGCGCGGATCAATGAGATGTGCATACGTGTTCGTGTGTGTTTGAGAGAAGAAACTGTGCTGACGTGAAAATCGACGTTGCGAATTTTACGTTGCGGGGTTAATTTCATCGATGCGTTATACAGTATAGACAGTATGGATAGTAATGTGGCGCGCTAACGCACGATGCAAAGCAACCTTCGCTCAAAATCCTATTATCAGCCTGGTTTTAGTCTGTATTCTGCTAATAATAATGTCCGCAATAATAATAATGTAGAGATGCAAGCATCAGTTATGTTAAATAAGCATTTTCGCGAGAATGATTGCGGATTGCGCACTCACCGCTGCGGGGAACGATTAGCTCGGAGGCATTAATGACGTTAGCATTGAACGATCTGGCGATGTTGCTGAAATGACTGTATACGAAACACATTTTTCGCAGTAGCGCTTGGTAGTTCTCACATATCAAAAGAGATATTCAAAGTTCAAATACAAGAAAAAGAGAGAGAGAGAGAGAGAGAGAAAGCTGTCGATTGCGCAACACAAGAGAACAAGAGTCACAACAAAGTCGAATTTTTCTAACAACAGGCATTTATTGCGTTGTAAGATTGTTTGATACAACTCGTTGCACATATAAATAGGTGTCGCCGCTGACAACTACCACGTACAGACCAGTTCGAAGAGGTGGAGGATAATACGCGCGAGATTAAGTAAAATCAGTCGATAGGTGCGACAGAGTCGTCGATCGACATTAAATACGAGGCGGCTTTGGCTAACTTCTACGTTAGGGAGGACTATTATTTTCGAGCACATGTTCCTTTCAATACGACGAAACGTCACTCACCGATGGGTGCACGACACGCCGCGCAGTTTTCGATCAAACGACGAAGTTGTTGGGTTTCCAGTCTCTGCAAAAGACGATAAGTTGCAGATTACTTTTCGAGTCGCGCGCGCGCGCGACTTTCTTCGTGAAATATTTCGCGATACGAGTGTCACAACTGCGATCTCTTACGTCCGAAAAAAGAATGAAAAACTTTCGTTTTGCAATCGGGACAAATATTTACGTTTACGTTCGTCATACTTATCGCGCTCTACTTTCGAAGTGAATTCTCAAATCGATTTATTGTACATTCATCGTTTGATTAACTCAAATGTTTAACGCACAGGAATGCAACGGCATAGTCGCTTCGCGCATACTTACGTTTTGCTCCAATTCCTTCCACATCTTCTTAGTGGCGTCGATTAATTCGTTTAGGGCTTTCACGATGTTGGTGTCGGTCAGACAAACTGAAAAATACCGAGCGTGAAAACGTGTTGAACGGAACCTAATTAATCGACTCGATTAATCATATTCCACCCACTTTTCTCATCTAGACTCTGAATTCCAATGTCGCCTCTTCTAGGTAACCTTGGCTTGTGTCCAGATCGGTCACCGTCAGGTTCAGACTCATTCTGATCGTACGGTTCTATGGCTGTATTTTTGTCGAACGAACTCCATTCACCGGGTCGTTTGTTAGGTCCTCGTTCACTCGAAGAACCGCGTCCTTTGTCAGGACGCAAATCCGGCTCGTAGGGTCGTTTGGATTCCGTGGATCCTTTCGATTCAGGTCGCCCAGACTTGACAAGATCGTGATATCCATCGTCTGTGTCCGACGTTGGTTCCGTCTCGTCCAGTTCGTCGGGTTTCAAGTTGAACACGTAATTGGACGGATTCCTGTCAGGTCGCTTGTGGTCGCGGTCAGGACGATGCGAGTTGGAATAATCGGGATCACCGCGTCCAGGGCGAGAGCCGTGCGGCTTCTTCTTGTCGGATGGTTCCTTATGACCGGGCCGATGACGATTGGGACGATTACCGCTAACGGACGAAACGGCTGATTCCGGACTACTGCGGTTCTGGTCCGTAGACGCATCAGCCTCTTCAATCGTCTCGTCCTCGTCGGAAGTGGTACCGGTCGGTCGAGACGCGGGTCGAATTCTTGTATGACCGGGAAATAAATCGGTCTCAAGTACTGACGGGAGAACCATGTCGACTAGTTTATCAGGGCATTCCTCTTTCCTCAGCACCTCGTTGATGCTCGTCTTGTATACTTTTGCCTGGCTTCTCCGTTCTCGCAACTAAAACAAGATTTCGAAACGATTCTTACCAAGTCGACATTGTTACTATAAAGAAAAAAAATTTCAATATACTATAGAAGAGTGTTAAACAAAATGGAACGAGAATATGTATACATAAATGCATCTTTAATATTATTAAGCTGTGTCATTAAGAGCACGATAGCGAATCAAAGAACAAGTCGTCTTGCATAAGTGTTTTGTTATTTGAGTAGCAGAAAAATACAGAAGGCTGATCGATAGATCGGTGAGAATTGAGGACAGTCGTCAAGTGACGACGCATATATAGCCGAAATATGCTTGTAATTTTGCTTCTGTGGAAGAAATAGGGCGCGAATAATTCATTGAAACGAATTCAATTTTCCCGAGCATTCATCGGAAATCGTTGCGTTCGGGTTGGGCAAGTCAGCCAGGTGCACACGATACAGAAGCAACTAGCTTAGGTCTCGTCAACCATATTTGGGAAGACGTCGTCCCACGTTCGCGGACGTCATGGACGACACGTAAATAAGAAAGAAATCGTCGTGCGAGCACAAGTCGTGGAAGAAAGCGACAAACGAAAGATCACGTCGAGTTAAAGGGGAGCCAAGAGAGTGACGAGTGTGTGAGCGGGTCGTGTTATACTTGTTAATGTATCGTAACGAGACGAGGCTCACCACTTCCACGTACGGGCTCTCCTCGTTCTCGGCGATGTCGCGGAAGGTTCTCTTGAGCGGTATGGAGCCCTGGTAGACACAGTCGACGTATACGTCCACGCGACGATTCAGTTCACCTTGACGCACCAGGATAACCAGGCTCTTTAGCGGCGTGTTCACCGCGAGGCTGTCCACATTGATGTGGCCAGCGCTGCGTCGACCACTCTCGTCGAGACTCTCGAGTATAACTGGAATGAGGAACTTTAATATCGTTACAGCAAAATTCGTCGGAACAATTCGAGGGTGATCTAGAGAAAAAGGTCTGTCGGCTCACCGCGTTTCGTTCGCCGATCGAGTATCAGTACCATCTTGCTCTTCGACTCTCCATACTTGACGGCTAAGAGAGTCTCGATCGCGCTGCCAGACTGCCTCTTCTTGATCTTGATGTTAGACAGCGCGATCACGAAATCATCTTCCTGCCACACATCCTGCAGGTCCCTCTTGAGACCTGTCGGAAATCGACGGGATGTAAAAGGGAGGCGAATGGTAGAACGGTGTAAAAGAGAGAGTTGAACGACCGTGAGAACGAGTCCTTGTTCGCAGATCTCACGTCACTACCGGATTTCTTGTCGAGTCTTACACCAAGAATGGTGCTTTCATGATGCGGACGCGTCAACCAAATCGATGATACCATTTAACCGCGTAAAATGCAATTGAAGGAATACGAAAATCAGCAGACAAAATTGCAGTAAAGTAAAAGTATCAATTCCGGACACACGCACCTAATCCTAAACGTTCTTGTCTTATTGTTTTGGTCTTTAAATATGAATATTCAGACTTTCAAAATAAAATATATATGTATATACATGTGTTTTATGTTGTAAGCTTGAAGATTCGCATTTAAAAATTAAAACAATAAGCTTGTCCAGAATTGGACACACGTCCGCACGTATTGGTATATTTATCTTAAGACGCGCACTAATTTAATTCGAATGAAATCCTTGCGTGCAATCGGGTTGAATCAGGATGAAATGTTCAATTCTTTTCGTAAAATGTCTGTTTTTTCTTAAAATCAGCACAATGTGAACAAAGCGTCGCGTTTTCACGGCAGATGTTTACCTTCGTCCGGTATAACAGCACCGTCGACGGCGTAGACAACGAGCAATCCCAGAATCAGCACCGTCAGGACTCGCATCCTGACGTGTAACTGCGTGTCCGTAGCTCACGCGAATAATCAAACTGTCGTGAACTTTTTTCGCGAGCAGCAAAGATGAGGAAGCAGCGGTCGCCCGCGAGTTCCTTTCGAGAATACGTTCCTCTCGATGATGCTTTCGGAGTCGCGACGCGGAAAGTTCTGACGGACGCGCGAGCGCGTCAACGTGGATACGAGAGCCCGTCCGTGGACTGAAGCGCGGACGCGGGTCGCCCGCGACTTTATACGTCGCCCACGACGGTTTTACGAATGAGATTTCGTGCGTGCCGCTACCTGTATGAAGTACGAAGGAGCGGAAAAAAGTATTGATGAATTGGGATCTTATCGCGGTGAATTAATCCAGTCGTGTCACATCTTTCAAGTCGCAAGAAGGACAGGAACCAGATGGGACTCTTTAGTAGGACATCTTTGCAGAAGAGAGTAATTTAATTTCCAATTGAAGATCACCGATAAGCGGAAACGGACAGTTAGATGAGCGATCTTGTTGTTTTCATCTGGCTGAGATGTAAAATCGGTATCGCGATGTCGAGCTTCGCACACTATTACTCTCTGTTCTGTAATAGTGTTGTGCGCGCACGCCCACATGCTGTTTCCTACGGCATGGAATAGTCATAGCGGAAAGGCGCGTCGCAACCGGCGCCAATATAAATCAATCGCTTCCTTCTACGGTGGCAGAAGAAGTATCTCGGCAGAATCGATTAGCGCACTCATTCGCGCATCAGCGCTCCATGTTATTTTGGAACGTAGAACTGTCGTCAAGACAGAAACATGACAGATGAAAAACAAACGAGGAAACTCTGTAAATAATGCCTTTTCTGTGTCCCAATGCGTTTTGGGCCTCCTTATTTATTTCGAGAATCTCTTATCGGTGGATTCGCGATTCAGGAGCGACTCCTCATCTCGACAGTCTCGTTAACAGTAAGGTACTTAGTCTTCTCAACGCGATCCAACAGGTATGTAACAATGTCGCTGGTGTGCCAGTTACGTGTGTGTGGGAAGTGGTCCCACCTACATATACACACCAGTTTCGAAGCTGGGCGAAGCCTAGTTTCCTTTACGATTAATGTCTTGAGAAATGGTAGGAAATGGGAGAGGCTAGAAACGATGGGGCCTCTATGGGGTCGGTAGCGTTTGCTAATCGTCCGCGAAGACCATGAATCAACTCGTAATCCTCTCGACCGATTATATCGTGGCGAAATGCTTTGAATATTGTGCCGTGCTTCTCATCCACATCGTAACACGTTGCTGTACGCGTTGCGAACGCGCGTAACGAAAGGGCCCATTTCGTCTCTCATCGTCATCTTGGCCTTGTCGTTAACTACGTTCCAGCCGTGTCGGGATACTGAAACCGGGACTCTGCGGATGCCTCTCTGGTCATTCATTTTTCATCCTAATTAAGCGACGTTACGAATATACTGCGCGGCCAAGGTATAATTTATGTGTGTAACAAGCTCGTTACGTGTAACAGACTCAACACGGAGTCACGCAGATTTGACTCAATTGAGACTGAGTTAACACACCGCACAGACATTGCTGTTTCTGGGAAAAACGCTCTTGATGACAACTTTACCTGTTATAAGTCTCGAAATACATTATTACGTTATTCGTTGCTTCATCGCGCTGAAATCATAATAGCCTCATCGAGTGAGTCGACACATTGTTTTATTATTTATTTGCAGGAAATACGTAATTAGAAACATTAAAATCAGTCCTGCGCGAACGTTGATTACGTATAGGAAACTTTTAAGTGATAAGAATTGTACGTAATATAAACGAGACGAGAACGCGAGAATTTTTTCGTAGTATCTTAGTATTTCTCCGAGATATTACTATCAAATATAGGCGAGTGTATCTATATAAATAGTTTACGTAACTTATTTGTACAATCGTGTCACAGAGTCGTGCGAAGTTACGGGAAAGAGAACATAAACGCGACGAAACCGCACACTTGCATTTGGATTTGCATTTGCATGATAAACTCGATCACGATCTCGGCAGATCGTTTCGCGCTAATTCGTTGCGCGCATAGTCGTACGCATAAAGTAACTCGATTAGTTTCTTAGCTATTTGAAATAAATATGTCTAAAGATGAGCGAGAGAGAGAGAGAGAGAGAGAGAGAGAGAGAGAGAGAGAGAGAGAGAGAGAGAGAGAGAATGATTAACCAAATAATATAAATGCGTTTTTCCAACCGATCATGGCAAATTTTCGGAAGGATCGTCGAGATCTTCTTTTCTCAGCCGAGCGAAGCTCAGTTG